TATGAATTTTGTGTATTTATTCTTGTTTTGTTTGCTCAAAGCCGAAGCTCAAATAAAAAAGTTTAGTCTGGATGTTACCACGAACACGGTAAAATAACCCCTAAAACCATTTGAAAGTACTTTTTACTTACTGAGAAGTACTTTTAATGGCTTTCAAATAGTAAAAGTAAAAGTATCTGCTGTAAAATGTACTCAAGTTAAGTAAAAACACCTAAAAATTCTACTTAAGTACAAGACTTTACAACTTGTACTTTGTCTCGTTTCATCACTGAATCCAAAACACGACTGAAGTAGAAGTACTGTCACACTGTACTATATATAACTGCAGAAGGAGTAAAAGTACGTGGTAAAAGTACACAGTAGTTTCTTGTGTGTTTGAAGGCGGCTGCACACGGGGCCCATGTGACTGATGTTGTAATAAACTCTTTTCTCTGTGTGAAGTTGTTTTGTTTTTTGATCTTGTGACATGTGAGTCAGCAAACGGCCCCCGAGTCACGACACACGGGCCCCGAGTCCCCGTGATCCTGTTTTTTGTTTTTTTATTTCACTATTTTGTCCCTGAATCAATGAGCTTCGATGAACTTCATTTGACTGGAGCTGAACGCTGTGGGGACGTCACACTCACTCAAAACAAGTCATTTTTTTTTTTTTTTGTTTGCTTCATTTTTATATTGAGTTTACGCCAAGAGAGAAACAATAATCACACACACATTACATACCGTAAACTAACAAATAATAGCTGCGGAGTTTGTTTTTTGTTTTAGTCACTTAACAGACCAGGCTTTTATTTGAGACCAGGCGGCAGTTTGGGGCAGGAGATTATTTCCTTCCTCACAAAAATCTTGCTCAACAAAACTGGGAAAATATGTCCTCAAATTCTTTTAACCAGTACGATTATAATTTACAGTTTACTTGCCAACCTTTCTTTCTTTCTTTTTTTTATTTTTTTTACTTTATTATGGTCATATATTCGGTTGATAGTCGAACCTCGGATCCAGGAGGAGCAGTGGTGGTTTTGGTCCTGGTCGTGGAACACTGGACCAGTTCTACACGCTCCATCGGGCGCGCGAGGTTCATGGGAGTTTGTACAGTCCACATGTGCTTCGTGGATCTGGAGAAGCGTTCGACCGTGTTCCTCGTGGCGTCCTGTGGGGGGCGCTCTGGGAGTCTGGGGTCCGGTCCTTGTACGACCGGAGCAGGAGCTGTGTTCATTGCTGCACTAAGGCTACGTTCAGACTGCAGGCCTTAATGCTAAAATCCAATGTTTTTTCGAGGTCGTTCACATTTCCAGTTAAATGTGACTTGTATGTGACTCCAGTGTGAACATTAAACGGCACAAAAGTGTCCCACATGTGACACTGGAGACACGACGACGTCAACCGCAGCGAGCGTCTCTGTGTTTACAGAAGTTGTCCAAACATGGACGCAGCATCGAGCACCTGGAGATTTTAAAGTTCCTCTCGTACCGGAGCCAGAACATGAACAACTGACTTGTTTTAAGGAGGAGATTGAGAAGGAGAAGGACCAGGTTTTTGGTCGTGGTGTTTTGTGGTGAGTGGTGATGTGCTTCACTTCAGTGACACTGAGTTCATTAACAATTTTCTCCTGCTTCAGTGCAGAATAGTGACATTTGTGTCTTGTTGATAACGTGTAGGTGGATGAATGTGACCTGACCGTTCACACTGAAGTCACATGTCAAAAGATCAGATATGTATCAGTTTCAGGAGCACATATCCAAGTGTCCTGGGTCACATTTGAAAAAATCGGATCTGTGTCATTCAGACTGACATTAAAAGATCAGATACAGGAACATAGAGACAAAAAATCGGATTTGGGTCACTTCAGGCTGCAGTGTGAACGCAGACTAAGTCTGTCCCGGTGCATGTTGGACTCCACCAGGGCCGCCCCGTCACTGGTTCTGTTCATTCTATGTTATTAGGTTCTTTTTTTCAGACCTAGAGTGTTATTTCATACCTGACAGTTTCGACTGCTCACTAGCGTCTTCCTCAGAGTCACGGGATGTTGCTGTTCATTGTATTTATGGACAGAGTTTCTGGGCGCACTCAGGGGTCGGAGGGTCCGGTTTGAGGACCACAGGATCATCTCTGCTGTTCACACATGATGTTGTCCTGTTGTCTTCATCAGACCAGGACCTGCATCTCTGGGGCGGTTTGACCCGAGTGTCAAGCTTCTGGGATGAAGATCGGCTCCTCCAAATCCGAGGTTGTTGGTTCTGGACTGGAAAAAGGCGTCTCGTCGTCTCCGGGCGGGTGGAGAGTCTCTGCCTCAAGTGGAGGAGTTCAAGTCTGTCGGGGTCTTGTTCTTGAGTGAGGGGAGGACGGAGTAAGAGACTGACAGGTGGACAGGTGCAGTGTGGGCAGATTGACAGGTGGACAGGTGCAGCATGGGCAGATTGACAGGTGGACAGGTGCAGCGTGGACAGTGATGCGGTCACTGTATCGGACTCAGTGTCAGAAGAAGTCGGGGCAGGAAATGCCAAAAAGCCGAAATGTTTACACTCCACAAACTGTCTACAGTCTGATCTCAGAGTCCAGATTTAGTCCTGGTTCAGTCCTGGTTTAGTCCTGGTTTAGTCCTGGTTTAGTCCTGGTTTAGACCTGGTTTAGTCCTGGTTTAGACCTGGTTTAGACCTGGTTCAGTCCTGTGTTGTGGTGAAGAGGTGCTGAGTCTGGATTTACCAGATCCACGATACAAGAGACACAAATGAGTTTCCTCCGCAGGGCGTCTGGGCGTCTCCCTTAGAGACAGAGTGAGGAGCTCGGAGTAGAGCCGCTGCTCCTCCACGTGGAGAGGAGCGTCTGAGGGGAGGACGTCTGTTCTGATGTCTCCTGGACGTGTCCCTCAGGAGGTGTTCATGTTCCACCGGGAGGAGGAGAAGACCCAGGACACACTGGAGGGACCATGTCTCTGGACTGGACTGGGAAACACCTCAGGTCCCACTGGAGGAGCTGGAGGAAGTGTCTGGGGTGAAGGAAGTCTGGGAGTCCCTGCACAGACTGATGTGACCCAGCCCTGGATAAGCAGAAGAAAATGGATGGATGGTCGTACAAACTAATAATAATGATAAAGAAGCTCAGAAGTTTATTGTTTATGATCAAAATAAGCAAAATGACAATGAAAAATATAAGGAGACATGGTAACACTTTATAATAACTACACCTTATTGATTCTTAATAAAGCATGAACAAAGACTTAATTAATAATGAACAAAGATTTAATTAATAATGATTCACACTTAGCAACTACTTAATTACTACCTTAATTAGCACTTGCACTTAATTTGCCAGTGCTGTAAATAGTTACTCATTATTTCATACTTAATTACTCATGAACTAACCATTTATTAATCATTAATAAACGATGAGAGAATGATTTACTAATAATACAATGATAATTCAGGCAGCTGTTATCTGTTAGTTAAGTCTTTTTGAGAGTTTTTCTAAAGTGAAGACTAATTTTGTTTATTAAGTATTTACTAAGCGTGAATCATTATTAATTAAATCTTTGTTCATGCTTTATTAAGGCTAAATAAGGTGTAGTTATTATAAAGTGTTACCGGATATATATATTTGTTTTCATTTATGGTCGTACAAAATAAACCACAATGAGAAGGAGAAAAATGGAAGGATTTTTTTTGTTTTTGTTTATTTTCGTACAAACTAATAATAACGATAAAGAAGCACAAAGTTTGTCGTTTCTGATCGTATCAAAATAAAACGCGACGTTAAAGAGTGAGGTGTGTCCCGAAAGAAACTCATTCAAAACTTCCAATGCCTTGATTTCCGAAGATAATGTGTGTGTGTGTGTGTGTGTGTGTGTGTGTGTGTGTTGCCGTGGAGACGCCCCCCTCAGTGTCAGAGGAAGAAGTCGGGGCAGGAAATGCCAAAAAGCCGAACTGTTTACACTCCACGAACTGTCTGCAGTCTGATCTCAGAGTCCAGATTTAGTCCTGGTTTAGTCCTGGTTTAGTCCTGGTTTTAGTCCTGGTTTGGTCCTGGTTTAGTCCTGGTTTAGTCCTGGTTTAGTCCTGGTTTAGTCCTGCTTGAGTAATATTCTTGGAGGACATTATTCTGCTGAATTTCCAAGGCTCATCGTTTTTCTGTTTGTGCACATTTTTACTTAATTCAAAACAAACAAATACGAGGATTAGACCAGAACTAAACCAGGACTGAACCAGGACTAAACCAGGACTGAACCACGACTGAACCAGGTCTAAACCAGGACTAAACCGGAACTAAACGGGGACTTAACCGGGACCAAACCAGGACTAAACCAGGACTAAACCACGACTGAACCAGGTCTAAACCAGGACTAAACCAGGACTAGAAGGGGACTAAACCAGGACTAAACCAGGTCTAAACCAGGACTAAACCGGGACTAAACTGGGACTAAACCGGGACTAAACCGGCACTAAACCAGGACCAAACCAGGACTAAACCAGGACCAAACCAGGAATAGACCAGAACTAAACCAGGACTAAACCAGGTCTAAACCAGGACCAAACCAGGACTAAACCAGGACTAAACCAGGACCAAACCAGGACTAAAACCAGGACTAAAACAACACTGAACCAGGACTAAACCAGGACTAAACCAGAACTGAACTAGGACTAAACCAGGTCTAAACCAGGACTAAAGCAGATCTAAACCAGGAATAAACCAGGTCTAAACCAGGACTAGAGAAGAACCAAACTAGAAGTAAACCAGGTCTAAATCAGGAGCACATTGACTCATGACAGGATTTCGTGTTTCCTGTGGTCATGAGGAAACTGACCAGACGATTACAGCAACAAGTCGAGTGTGAAAACAAAGACCAGATCTAATCCCACTCAACGCTCTGTGACAGGGACCGGATTAAAGCCTCACTGCGGGATTTTTATCGTCTGGAAAACACTAAACCAGATCTGGATCAGTGTGAGAGTTTTTCTCATGTCCTTCTGTGTTCAGACCAAATACTCAACACGATGAGTTTATAAAGACTTTACAACAAGGACCAGTTTAGTCCTGGTTTAGACCTGGTTTAGACCTGGTTTAGACCTGGTTTAGACCTGGTTTAGTCCTGGTTTAGACCTGGTTTAGACCTGGTTTAGACCTGGTTTAGTCCTGGTTTAGACCTGGTTTAGTCCTGGTTTAGTCCTGGTTTAGACCTGGTTTAGACCTGGTTTAGTCCTGGTTTAGACCTGGTTTTAGTCCTGGTTTAGACCTGGTTTAGTCCTGGTTTAGACCTAATATGGTCCTGGTTTAGTCCTGGTTTAGTTCTGGTATAGTCCTGGTTTAGACCTAATATGGTCCTGGTTTAGTCCTGGTTTAGTTCTGGTCTATTCCTGGTTTAGACCTGGTTTAGACCTAATATGGTCCTGGTTTAGTCCTGGTTTAGTCCTGGTTTAGACCTGGTTTAGACCTGGTTTAGTCCTGGTTTTAGTCCTGGTTTAGTCCTGGTTTAGACCTGGTTTAGACCTGGTTTAGACCTGGTTTAGTCCTGGTTTAGTCCTGGTTTAGACCTGGTTTAGACCTGGTTTAGTCCTGGTTTAGACCTGGTTTAGACCTGGTTTAGACCTGGTTTAGTCCTGGTTTAGTCCTGGTTTAGTTCTTGAGGCGTTGTTTAAAACAGGAAGTGTGAAGTGAGTCACTGAGACATGAGAGACCAGACTGTCCTCTGACCCGGAACAGGACCAAAAAAAAAAAAGCAAAAGCAGATTTGACTCAATTTTCTTTTTTTTTTTTTTTACAAGAAATGTACCAGAGTTTGACCAATGTGATCTAAACCAGAGCAGGACTAAACCAGGTCTAAACCAGGACTAAACCAGGACTAAACCAGGACTAAACAAGAATTAAACCAAGTCTAAACCAGGACTAAACCAGGACTAATCCAGACCTAAACAAGGACTAAACCAGGACTAAACCAGGACTAAACCAGGACTAAACCAGGTCTAAACCAGGACTAAACCAGGACTAAACCAGTCTCTTTGTTCTGGCGCTCGGTTCCTGGTTTCAGTTTCGTCGCTGTAACTTCTGACCTCCAGGAGCGAAACTTCAGCGGAAAAACTGTGACGACATTTACGGCGACGCGAATTTCCATTTTTTTAATTTCATGAAGTCGTTTTAGATCAACTTTTCGACACATTTAAGTTGATTTTAAACGAACTGAGTCTGTTTTTCACATTTATAAAACAGTAAAATCCAGCTCCTCCGTCTTTTTCCCACACTGCACGTCCACAGGTTTGATTCTTCCGTAACCTGACCCACATTTCCACACCTCGGTTGCGTCGTGTTTTGCCCAAATCAAACCACACGTCCTCCCGGTGACACATCCTCTTTCCTCACTCGGCTCTTACGTGGATTTAAGGATTACCCCGGCTCGTCCCATTGGCCCCGCGGAGCCCAGAACCGCATAAAAAGGCGCCGTTCGTTCTCGGGGGACATCATCATCCTCCTCCTCCGACGCACCTGAACTCCGCCGACTCGCCGAAGTCAAAGGCTCAAAGGTAAGTTCTTTTTTTTTTTTTTGCAGTTTTTGAAATTCCGAGCTAAAATTTGACGTCTGTTTGTGTTTCCGTAGCAACATGAAGCTCCTCTCCGCCACGGTTCTTCTGGTTCTCCTCGGACTCTCCCTCGCTGTTCCCGTAAGTTTGTTTTTCCCGAATCGAAATATCGGATCCGTACGACTTTAAAGGTTTTGTTTATACTTCGTGAAACTGACTCTTGTCGCTTTAAGTCGTGTTCTGATGTTGTTTCCGTCGTCAAAAACGGAGCTGCATTAGTGTTTTGTTTGTCTTTATTATGAGTCTCCAAACCTCCAAATGCTCTGTCCCACCTTGTGATGTCATAGTTTTCAAGTGAACAGCTCCTTTTAAAGTCTTGTTCAGTCGAGATCAGCAGTTCCAGGATTGTAAATGGTCGAGGTTTGGTCTCAGTTCTGGTGGCAAACGCTCGCAACAGATTAATTATAGAATAGTATTTACTTTTTTATGACGCACACTGCAAAACCCAAACAGCACGTCTTTATAAGAAAGAGTCGTCGTGTGTTGGTTCATCGTCTTGTGAAGTGTCTGTTTAGTTTCTCCAGTGCAGCGAGTGAAAGAAGGGTTCAGTCAAGTGTTAACGGAGGAAACAGGGTCAGATTTTTGACATTCAAATGTCTCTTATTCAGAAACTAGAGGAACTATTGAAATAAGTAAAGTATCAGAATGTAGGAAAGAGTTACACTCCAACAGGGTCAAGTTAAACCTGTGAGATTCTTTCAAGTTCAAGACAAAAAATTTAAAAACTCATGTCGGTAACGGAGGGAATGAAATATGCAGCACTTTTTGGGTCAATAAATCCAAACAGTGATAACTCTTGGTTCTCACTTACATATCCTTAACAAACTGGTTTGAATATTTGCTTCATATAGTTTTCTACCATATGGTACAAGATTAGGTTGAAAAAACCTCTGACTTTTTGACTCATGAGATTTTTTATTAAGAAAGTTCATGGTAACGGAGGGAAAAGTAACGGAGGGAAAATTGTACAAACAAGTAGAAGGTGCAGGATTTTACATCATTTGTCACTTTTTTCTTCTGAAAACTTTAATATTACTTCAAAATGAAAGAAACTATTTCTATAAAATATGTCAGTCCTTCCAAGAACATTTTTATCATTTTAAATACTTTTTTTTTTAAATCCTGTCCCTTCATCAACAGTTCAAAGATGGAATAACACAAGATATGATGAAATACAAACATTTATTTACATGATTTGCAGGTCTTTGAAATTTGGGAAATAATTTTTGTTCCATGTTTCATTCATGGTCTGTTTAAAACATATGGAACTTTAGAACCAAAAATGGAACAGAAAAAAGGTGAACAGTTTGATAAACTCGAGTACATATGTATCTGTTCAATACATTTTTATATCAGATGAATTCACTTGAAGTTTTGGCCTTGTTGTTTACTTCTGCTTGACTGGGCCCAGAAGTTATTTTTATTAAGAAAGAGAATCCGTCTCTAAACAGAAATGGACTCAGACTCCATCTGTCTCCTATTTACACGTCCATCCTCAAACCTAAAACAAAACTAACAAGAACAACAGGTGTATCCGGGTCAGGTCCAGAGGTGTGGAAGCTCCATTATGTCCATGAATTGTTGTGTTAATTAGACTAGAATTGACATGTGACTTCAGTGTGAACGGTCAGGTCACATTCATCCACCTACACGTCATCAACAAGACACAAACGTCACTATTCTGCACTGAAGTAGGAGAAAATTGTTCATGATCCATGAACTGAAGCACATCTCCACTCACCACAAAACACCACACCAAAAACCTGGTCCTTCTCCTTCTCAATCTCCTCCTTAAAACAAGTCAGTTGTTCATGTTCTGGCTCCGGTACGAGAGGAACTTTAAAATCTCCAGGTGCTCGATGCTGCGTCCATGTTTGGACAACTTGTGTAAACACAGAGACGCTCGCTGCGGTTGACGTCGTCGTGTCTCCAGTGTCACATGTGGGACACTTTTGTACCGTTTAATGTTCACACTGGAGTCACATACAAGTCACATTTAACTGGAAATGTGAACGACCTCGAAAAAACATCGGATTTCACAAAAAAATATCCGAATTGAGCGTTAAACCTGCAGACTGAACGTAGCCTTAGATCATAAAATCCTCGTGTTGTTGCAGATGCAGGAGCAGGAGCAGGACGCCCGGGTCAAGCGCAGCTCAGAGGTGAGTCCCTGTCACACACCCGGAGTCCCTGTCACACACAGGTCCTCAGGTCGGGCCTCTTGTTTGTCCCGAAGACCTGATTTAAAACTTGGGGGGACGTCTGAGGCTTTTTAGTTGAGTTTTTAGTCTTTTAGTCGACTGTAATTCCTCTGTTTTTGTTCATGTTGTTTATTGTTCCGTAAAACACTTTGTGATTTTTTTTATCTGTAAAAAATAATAGCTATAGAAATAAAGGTTAGTTGATTTCTTCTCCTCCTCAGACCTCGAGCAACAGCTCCATCCTTCAGCTCCTGCTCCCTCTGATCCTGGCCCAGGCTCAGACCAACCCCACCCTGGTCGCCACACTGCTCCAGCTCCTGGCCACTGCCGGCTGAACATCTCCCACAGGTCTGAGCGTCACGCCAGACCGGACCGGACCGGACCACCGGACCGGACCACCGGGCCGCCACGCCACGCCACGCCACGCCACGCTTTTATGTCATGATGTTTTCTCATTCAAACTGTAAACATTAAAAAGTGACACAGAAAACTGAAGGTGGAAGTTTCATTTCATTTCTGAGCAGAACTGTGGATTCTCTGATGTTTGTCGCGGTGTTGAGGTTTTGGGCCGAGCCGAAGCTGAAACGCCCAAATGAACTAAAATGAACATAGTGCCTCTGACGTACTTCAATCTATTTTAGCGCCAATACAGAATATTTAGTTTGTAGAATGGTGCAGAGGGAGGAGTGTGTGGAAACATCTGAGCTTTACTGGATTTAAAGTTAGATTTTTTGTCTTGTTCTGCTGTTGCGACGCTTCGACCAGACTGAAGTATTCGTCTGGACGCTCTGTGTTTTCAGATCTTTTTCATTGACAGAATGTAAAGCTCATGTGTGACACTTTTGGGGTGTTTAAAGTTCACACTGAAGATCACACACAAGTCACGTTTAACTGGAAATGACCTCGCAAAAATGGCAGATTTCACAAAAAGAATCGAATTGAGCTTTAAGCCCTGCAGTCTGAACGTAGGATTAGTCCACATGTAGACTTGGTTTAGTCTTTAGATCCAGACCTGGTTTATTTTCAGGTTTAGTTCTGGTTTAGTCCCAGTTTTGATGTGAAAGTGGGACAGCACCTCAAGGATCTGTCCTGGCCCCTCTTTTCTTCAGTATGAATTGTGTATATTCACTTTAAAATGTACTTAAGTAAACTTTAGTACATAGCAGGGATTCAATTACATTTTTTAATCGATCATTGGGTGAATTAATGATAGATTTTTGATTAATCATTAACATTTTTATATTAAAAGTATCATCATTATTATTATTACTATTACTAATCTGCGTAAATAAATTCAACTTTACGACATACAAACATAAACACTTTAGAGCCACATCAGCTGTTTGACATTATAATGTGTTTAATTCAGTTTTGTTCAAATCTCACAGAAACAAAACTTTAAAAAAAAAACACATGGCTCATTTGCATAAACTAAGCGGAGAAAAAAAACTAAACTTGTGTCGCTGCAGCTTCTGTTGGATTAAAGGACACGACTCAGTGGAAGATGAGTGTTCTCTCTGTGAAAATGTAATCCCCTACAGATTACAGATTACATATCCCAGAATGTAGTTTGTAACATAATCCATTCAATTACTTAAAGTGAGTAATGTAATCTGAATACTTTGGATTACTTGATTTGCTGTAGAGCAGAGAAATCTTCACATAAGAAGTTTGGTCTGATTAAAGAAGATAAAAAAGCCCAGTGTTTACTGAACCGTATTAAAAAATATGATTGATAGAAGACGAGGAGGAGACCGTTTACACCTGGTTTAGTCCTGTTAAATCCTGTTTTAGTCCTGGTTCAGACCTGGTTTAGTCCTGTTAAATCCTGTTTTAGTCCTGGTTCAGACCTGGTTTAGTCCTGTTAAATCCTGTTTTAGTCCTGGTTCAGACCTGGTTTAGTGTCCGGCAATGAGTGGAATTACGAAAAAAAAAAAAAAAAGGGGGGGGATTTTGCCCAAAATGTAAAAACAGGAAAATCCCTCTGTGTAATCCATTAATTTCAACAAAGTAACTGTAATCCAATTACCACTCGCTGAAACAGTAACTGTAACTGAATACAGTTACTCATAATTTGTACTCTGATTACTTAACTCCAGTACATGTAATCTGTTACTCCACAACACTGAACAGGAGTGATGTGTCCCTCCGCTTCTTTCCAGTTAAAAGTGGAGCTGGTGCAGTTTGTGCAGGCGGCTGAGCTGCGTCTGGTCAAAGCAGCAGACAGAGCGACGGTCGTCAAGCCGCGAGGTCACAAATGCATGAACGGCCTTTTCAAAATGCAGGCGTGAGATGTTTGGTTTAATTTGATTTAAAATCCTTAACTGATAAAAACTTGATTTAAGACCAGATCTTACTTCCTTTTCAAATTTAAAATTGCAATTAAAATAACACCCAAGGTTTCTAGAAAATGCTTTTTCATAGCAGCTAAGAGGACCAACTGTCACAGTTTATCAACAGATCAGAATGACCAGAAACTATTATTTCTGTTTTCTGCTTATTTAAACTGAGAAAGTTCGACTGCATGAAATTCTTATGATCAATTATCGATTAGTCGACTAATCCTGCCCATCCCTAGTGCAGACTGTAGTACTTTTACTTGTTCGTGTTGCACTGCAGTACATGTGTCAGTCTGGGCAGTGTTGGGAAGTTTACTTTTAAAATGTAATCCCCTACAGATTACAGATTACATATCCCAGAATGTAGTTTGTAATGTAATCCATTAAATTAATTAAAATGAGTAATGTAATCTGAATACTTTGGATTACTTGATTTACTGTAGAGAAACAAAGATGAGGATGGTTAATCTTGGTTTAGATCTGGTTTTAGACCTGGTTTAGATCTGGTTTAGTCCTGGTTTAGATCTGGTTTAGACCTGGTTTAGATCTGGTTTAGTCCTGGTTTAGATCTGGTTTAGACCTGGTTTAGATCTGGTTTAGTCCTGGTTTAGACCTGGTTTAGATCTGGTTTAGACCTGGTTTAGATCTGGTTTATTCCTGGTTCTGGTTTAGTCCTGGTTTAGATCTGGTTTAGTCCTGGTTTAGATCTAGTTTAGTCCTGGTTTAGATCTGGTTTAGACCTGGTTTAGACCTGGTTTAGACCTGGTTTAAATGTAGTTTAGATCTAGTTTAGTTTCCGGCAGTGAAGTGGGGGGGGGGGGGGGGATTATAGCCCAAAATGTGAAAACAGTAAAATCCCTCTGTGTAATCAATTTATTTCAACAAAGTAACTGTAATCCAATTCCCACTCACTGAAACAGTAACTGTAACTGAATACAGTTACTCATCATTTGTACTCTGATTACTCCAGTACATGTAATCTGTTACTCCCCGACACTGGGTCTGGGGGTTGTGTCTCCAGGGCGTCAGGTGATAGGAGGAGCTTTATCAAGACTGAATCTCCGAGCAGCAGGGGCCCGGGACAGAGGCTCCTGGGACAGCGGGGGCCCCAGGCTGTGGTCCCTGATAAAAACACTCATATGACTGTGTCCCCCTCGCCCCCCACCCTCTCCACAGACTACACTCACTCACAGTCACACTCAGGTCACTCCAGTCAGGTCACCGACGTCACACTCAGGTCCTGCTGCTTATACAAGATCTGTGTAAATATCTGATCTGGGTTTAAGACAAAAGCTGAAATAATTTAATAAAATCATCTCGAGGTTTTTTAATCGTCCACATCCTGACAGATCTGTGTTTGTGTCCTTGTTCCTCCAGGTGCAGAGACGAGCACAGCGTCCTGTCCCTGGTCCTGGTCCTGGTCCTGGTCCCTGGTCCCTTGGTCCTTGGTCCCTGGTCCCGGTCCACGGTCAGAGGGGCGGGGCCAGAGCACTTCCTGTACAGCACAATGGCCCTTGTTTCAGACAGGAAGTGACACGGACACAGACGGGAAGCGGCGGGGGGGGGGGGAGCTGAAGGGCGGCGGATGCGGATGCGGACGCGCGGGCGGCGTGTACGAGCTCGCCTGACCCACATCCAGCCCTGGCCCCGCCCTTCAACGGACACAGTTAACCCCCGAACTGGAAGTGAGCATGGGGGCGCGTCCGGCTCCATCGGCTCTGGCTCTAGTTCACTTTCCATTGAAAAACCGTGGCTCCTCTCTCTGGACCTGCTGCTCTGAACCTCGACATTTTGGTCTTAAAATGTTCGTATTGACCCTCTCTACATCATCCTGGGGTTTTTATTTCACTATTTTGTCCGTAAATAAAATACCGTATTTTTCGGACTATGAGGGGCACTTAAAATCCTTTAATGTTCTCAAAAATCGGCAGTGTGTCTTACGTATTATTCTGGTTGTGTTACTGACCGCGAACCGATTTTCTTTTTTTTTTTCATTTTTCTTTTTTATTGATAATTTGTCAAGTTTGAGGGATTGGATACTCAGCACATCCACAACAAGACAGATTTAACTAAATATAGAACTAACACGCATGCAATAAATAAATAAATAAATAAAAAATAATAATAAAAAAAAAAAGACTTTCTGTGATACACGGCGCTCAAAAATGTGTCAAAATGTTTTAGTACGACTTTGTTAAACTACGAAGCCGCACCACTTGATGGATTGTCGGAGCGTTACGGCGACCGAAGTCAGGAACCTCGTGATTTTCAGAGCTTATAGTTTATGCAAATGAGTCATGTGGTGTTAAGTTTTGTTTCTGTAAAATGTAAACAAATGTGCGCAAAGCTGCATTAAACACATTATTACGAGGGTTGTAACGAAATCCAAGTCTCTCGATACGATACTTTCACGATATGCAGCTCACGGTTCGAAATAAATGAAAAGGAGCAGAAAGAAGAGAAATCAATACATATATCAATATCAATATATTATCAATATATACAATATAAACACATAAAGCAGACATTCACAATCATTTATAACAGTGGGGAAAAAATAATGGAGACATAAAATAAAATAAATGATGGTAGATCAAACCTAATAAAAGAAATTAAATGAAAAAGGCACCAGCGACGGATTCAGCGGAGAAGGAGGATCTGTTTGTGTATTTTGTTTTTTGAATTGGTTGGTTACTGAAAAGTTGTTTAGTTTTTTTTTTACAGGATAAGTGGAGAATAGACTGAAAATAATGATTTATTTCGATTAGCAGTAACGGAAAATAAGGTTTTGTTTTTGAGAAATTTGCTTTATGAATATTATACTTGCCAAGAAGAATGAATAAATGAATGAGTTTAAAAATTTTTGCATGTTGATGTGTTTTGTAAGTCTTGATATTTATCTTCTTTTAAGTGTTAAGTGGCTCCTTTAAACAAAATACTCTGGCGCCATCTGCTGGTCACAGGTGGGAGCTGCTTTTGAACGACACTGAAACATTAAAGTGTCATAAACCAACACGTGCTCCACGTTTAAAACAAATCCAACAGACACAACACTGGAGGTCAGATTTTTCATTTTTAGGCCAAATCTCGTGGTGAATCGTCTTTTTTTTTTTTAAATAAACTCTACTTTTCAGAGTATTTTTACTCCCACCTGAGTAATATTTTTATGAACTAACAGTACTCTTAACTTGGACTTAGACAAACATTATCGATCCACAAATGAAAATGATTTGGACACAGGAGTCACACATCACAGTATAATATAAAAGAGTAAAACATAAATAGAAATGGTGATAATAAATTCTAAATAAGTAGCAAAAAAAAAAAAAAAAAAAAAAAAAGAGCAAGAGGCACATGTTAAATAAGACATAATTATATAATATAAAAAAATATTAAATAAAATAGAAAAATAAGTAATAAAATATAAAATGTAATCAAGTTTTATAGAGGAGGTCAGAGGAAGTGCAACAGTGATGATTGACAGAACACGAGGTTATGACATGGGCTGAGTAAAAGTTGTTCTTCCTCTTTTCTCTGTGAGTCTAAAGTGACAGAATATTTATGTGACAAACTGAAATGATGTGAACAGTTTGTACGACCACGAAAACAAAAAATCCTTACGTAATAATACATACATAATAATTCTTTACATAATTTAGACCTGGTTTATTTATTTGAGACAGGGACAGTGCACAATTTTCGCATTAACCTTGACAGGAGAGATGCATTGTACATCAGGTTGTAGCATCAGTGCTAATTTCCACCTGTCGTCCCTGGACAGGTTCATTAATTGATTATATTTAACTGACCTTGACTATCAACTGTTCTTGGACCTGGAGCATGTTTTGGGTTGATGGGGGAAACCGGAGCACCCGGAGGAAACCCATCCAGACACGGGGAGAAACATGCAAACTCCACACAGAAAGGCCCAGGCGACCCGGGGATCAAACCCAGAACCTTCTTGGTGTGAGGCATGAGTGCTAAACACTCAGCCGCCGTGCCGTTTAGTCCTGGTTTAGACCCCAACACTCTATATAAATATATCAGGACTTTTTAACTACAGTCTAGTTTAAAAACGATATAAACTGCAAAAATCTAAGATACATTTTTTGTGTGAATCACGTGATCATGTAAAACAGTTGGGGTAAGATTCTATAACTTTATTAAACTTCATTTCTTTATTTATTTATTGAATAAGGACAGTGCATATTAATGAACATCTACAACATTGCAGTGTAAATATGACAGATTATAGCAAGACTGAACATTTCCATCTGTCGTCCCACGGCAGGAAACACCACAAATTTAAACAAAACAAAAATAAGTAACAAATCTATACTAAAAGTGTCCACAAGTCTAGTTTTTCTTTAGCCGCTCTTTTAAGTAGGACTTGAAGGTGGCAAGAGTTGGAGTTTCTCTTATTGACAGTGACAGATTGTTCCAAAATGTTGTGCCTCTGACTGAGACACACTTTGTCCGAGTGTGGAGCATCTGTGTGGAGCTCACAGTTCCCCTGAGCTGTGGCCCTAGTTCCCATCCCACTCACAGTCTTTACTTTAATAAAATCCTGTAATGGAGGAGGGGCAAGTCCATGCAAAACTTTATAGACAAAACATCCATATTTAAAACCAATACAATTATTAAAATTAAGCAAATTATACTTGTGTAAAATAGTGCAGTGGTGAAATGAGACTGGTTTCTTGTCCAATATTTTTATGGCTTTTTAAAAAAAGTGATTCGATGGGTTTGAGTTCATCCTTTTCCTTTTGAGCTCCAGGCCCCAAATCTGCACATGTACATCTGTTTTGTTTTTGTTTTTTTTAATTATTATTATTATTGCTGTTGTTGATTTTTGTTGTATTTGCTCAAACAAATAAAATAAAATGAATGAATGAATGAATTAAATCTTTCCGTCTCTGTGGGACTCGAGCCCGCGCGACACCACGTCATGACGTCACCGCGGCTGTGGCGTCACCTCGGTCACAACCAGGAAGCGCCTCGTTTGTGTTTGTTCGTCCTGCTCCGAGCCGCTCCGAACCCGAACCCGGACCCGGACCCGAACGCGCCGAGGCACCGGAGGAGAGCGCCGCGGGTTCTGGAGGATCCGCACACGCAGGAGAGGCCCTCCACACGGCCGCGCGGAGCCGCTGGAGCCGCTGGAGCCGCTGGAGCCGCGGTGTGGAGCTTTTGGACCGAACCCCGGAGGAAACCGCGGCTCTTCTGTTCAGCGGTGAGTCTCTGCTCCGGTCCGGGTTTGGGTTCGAGTCCGGGCTTGTGGACGGATCTGGGTTCGGGTTTTCTTTGTTTACACGTTGGCGGGGCTCCCGGGCGCCCGCAGCCGCCGCACAGTGACTCTCCTGCGGGTCGATGCCGGGAACATGAGGCGCACACGTCCACACGCCCGAACCGGCTCCGAACCGGCTCCGAACCAAAACCAAAACAACAAGGATCTAATGATACTAAACTGATCTACTACACGGAAAACCAGTCCTCATAAAGACTGGGTGGTTTAGTCCTGGTTTAGTCCTGTTTTAGTCCTGGTTTGGACCTAGTTTAGTCCTGGTTTAGTCCTGTTCTAGTTCTAGTTTAGTCCTGTTCTAGTCCTGGTTTAGTTTTGGTTTAGTCCTGTTTCTAGTCCTGGTTTAGTCCTGGTTTAGTCCTAGGTTTTAGTCCTGGTTTTTAGTCCTGGTTTTAGTCCTGGTTTTTAGTCCTGGTTTTAGTCCTGTTCTGGTCCTGGTTCAGTCCTGGTTTAGACCTTGTTTAGTCCTGTTCTAGTCCTGTTTAGTCTTCTAGTCCTGGTTTAGTCCTGGTTTAGTCCAGTTCTAGTCCTGTTTTAGTCCTGTTCTAGTCCTGTTCTAGTCCTGGTTTAGACCTTGTTTAGTCCTGTTCTAGTCCTGTTCTAGTCCTGGTTTAGTCCAGTTCTAGTCCTGGTTTAGTCCGGTTCTAGTCCTGTTCTAGTCCTGGTTTAGACCTTGTTTAGTCCTGGTTTAGGGTGAATTTGCAATTGATCCTGGATGATCCTGTTTCAGTCCTGAGGTAGACCTGGCTTGGCCCTGTTCTAGTCCTGGTTTAGTCCTGTTCTAGTTCTAGTTTAGTCCTGTTCTAGTCCTGGTTTAGTTTTGGTTTAGTCCTGGTTTAGTCCTGTTCTAGTTCTAGTTTAGTCCTTTTAGTCCTGGTTTAGTCCTGGTTTAGTCCTGGTTTAGTCCTGTTTAGTCCTGGTTTAGTCCTGGTTTAGTCCTGGTTTTAGTCCTGGTTTTAGTCCTGGTTTTAGTCCTGGTTTTAGTCCTGGTTTTAGTCCTGTTCTGGTCCTGGTTCAGTCCTGGTTTAGACCTTGTTTAGTCCTGTTCTAGTCCTGGTTTAGTCCAGTTCTAGTCCTGGTTTAGTCCGGTTCTAGTCCTGTTCTAGTCCTGGTTTAGACCTTGTTTAGTCCTGGTTTAGGGTGAATTTGCAATTGATCCTGGATGATCCTGTTTCAGTCCTGAGGTAGACCTGGCTTGGCCCTGTTCTAGTCCTGGTTTAGTCCTGCTTTAGTCCTGCTTTAGTCCTGGTTTAGTCCTGCTTTAGTCCTGGTTTAGTCCTGGTTTAACACATTCAGAAAAGCTTCGTTTCTGTTCTTTCAGTGTGACTTCTTTCGTATCGACACTTGCGAAAAACGAGGATCTAGTTTTGATTCTAGTTTGAGCGTTTTCTTTTCTGTGTTTTGTTTTTGTGATCCGTTCCTCTGGGCCTCGTCGCTTCTCGTCGCCGCGGTGACAGAAGAGAGAACAGTTCTGGAATTTCCCGTGACACTGGAAGAACTGGACTCCTCGTTCAAAGAGTCCAGGACAGGTTCGACGGCCCCGTTCACACGAGACCGCATCACACACACACGCACGCACGAACGAACGAACGTCGACTTCTGTTTGCAGAGTCGCACGTCGTTCAGTCCTGCTCTGGTCCTGGTTTAGTTCTGGTTTAGTCCGGGCTTAGTGTGAATTTGCACCTGTCGTTCTTTGGTCCTGGTTGATCCTGTTTCAGTTCTGAGGTAGACTTGTTTTTGTTCTAGTTTGGTCCTGGTTTGGTCCTGGTTTGGTCCTGGTTTAGTCCTGGTTTAGTCCTGGATTTGGTCCTGGGTTTGGTCCTGGTTTGGTCCTGGTTTAGTCCTGGATTAGTCCTGATTTAGTTCTGGTTTAGACCTGGTTTAGTCCTGGTTTAGTCCTGGGTTTGGTCCTGGTTTAGTCCTGGTTTAGTCCTGGTTTAGTCCTGGTTTAGTCCTGGTTTAGTCCTGGTTTAGTTCTGGTTTAGTCCTGGTTTAGTTCTGGTTTAGTCCTGGTTTAGTCCTGGTTTAGTCCTGATTTAGTCCTGGTTTAGTCCTGATTTAGTTCTGGTTTAGTTCTGGTTTAGTTCTGGTTTAGTCCTGATTTAGTCCTGGTTTAGTTCTGGTTTAGTCCTGGGTTTGGTCCTTCTTTAGTCCTGGTTTAGTCCTTCTTTAGTCCTGGTTCAGTCCTGGTATAGTCCTGGTTTAGTCCTGGTTTAGTCCTGGTTTAGTCCTGGTTTAGTCCTGGTTTAGTCCTGGTTTTCGACGGCGTTTGTTCTGTTTCTTCTTTCTACCACATCACACACGAACGCCGACTTCTGTTTGCAGAGTCACTGTACGTCTGGAATTAACCCTTCATTTATTCCTGTGGTTGTTTTTAAAAGTTTTATATCATGAAAAAACTCGCTTTAAGTCGTGTTCTAATGTCGTTTCCTCGTCAAAATCAGACCTGGACTTGTGTTTGTTTCATTCATGTTTGAGTTACTCTTTATTATTCGTCTGTTTACATCTGCAAAACTCAAAATGAACACCGGCTCGAAAGTCCCCCTGGCTTGAAAGTCCCAGCTCGAGCGTCCCCCTGGCTTGAAAGTCCAGCTCGAGCGTCCCCCTGGCTTGAAAGTCCCAGCTCGAGCGTCCCCCTGGCTTGAAAGTCCCAGCTCGAGCGTCCCGTTCTCTCGGCGGGAACGTCCCCCTCCTCCCTCCTGGCAACTGCCCAACACTGCCCAAGACGCAAAACTCTGGTCAGATCTGCTCAGGTCGTGTTCACGTTTACGTCACAGACAATCCAATTCCACACACTTTTGCGTCACCGTCTGCAGCACGTTTATTCGTCTAAAAGCGGAATAAAAAGTGAAGATGCGACGCCGCTTTTGTGTCTTCTGTTCAGACCCTCAGTTCAAGTTTATTTGTATATCACATTTAAAACAACTTAAACTGACCAAAGTGCTTCACATACAAGTCAACAACATAGAAGAAACAGTTACAAATACATCTGGGTCTGGTCAAGTGTTAACGGAGGAAACAGGGTCAGATTTTTGACATTCAAATGTCTCTTATTCAGAAACTAGAGGAACTATTGAAATAAGTAAAGTATCAGAATGTAGGAAAGAGTTACACTCCAACAGGGTCAAGTTAAACCTGTGAGATTCTTTCAAGTTCAAGACAAAAAATTTTAAAAACTCATGTCGGTAACGGAGGGAATGAAATATGCAGCACTTTTTGGTCAATAAATCCAAACAGTGATAACTCTTGGTTCTCACTTACATATCCTTAACAAACTGGTTTGAATATTTGCTTCATATAGTTTTCTACCATATGGTACAAGATTAGGTTGAAAAACCTCTGACTTTTTGACTCATGAGATTTTTTATGAAGAAAGGTCATGGTAACGGAGGGAAAAGTAACGGAGGGAAAATTGTACAAACAAGTAGAAGGTGCAGGATTTTACATCATTTGTCGCTTTTTTCTTCTGAAAACTTTAATATTACTTCAAAATGAAAGAAACTATTTCTATAAAATATGTCAGTCCTTCTAAGAACATTTTTATCATTTTAAATACTTTTTTAAAAATCCTGTCCCTTCATCAACAGTTCAAAGATGGA